ACGATTAATTCGAACTAAAAGGTGTGAGCAAATAACTTTATTAAAATCTTGCAATCCTCTATAAATTACAATTGCTAAACGAAATAAGGCGTTTCGTTCTTTTTCTACAAAGTTATGAAGAGATTATGAAACTAGATTTCAAACATACATCGAAGTGCAAAATACCCTAGACATATTCTAAAATGTGCACAATGTACTTTATCGTATAATGCATTCAAACACAATGACTTTCACTGATTATACATAGGTTGTTTCTCCCAGTAGATTATAACCCATCCCATAGTGTCCAAAGAGATCAACATTCAACATTTAAACTGCCAACCTTATTCACGACTACAAGCATTCGTAATTCTGGCTTGTGATACAGTCAGCAGCAAAATCTTTACCGCGACTCAACGAAACCAGTTTGAACTTACTATTAAATGTCTCAAAAGTCTGCATCTCAATAGCAGACATCTCAAAGAAACAAGACGTCCCAATTCATAGATCAAGAACCCTTCGTTTTGATTTGTATGTTAGGTCGAACATTAAATATCAAGATCTTACGATGCTAGGGACTCGGCACCCGGCGCTAGCGCTTCCGCCCCCCCCCCCNNCTCCGCCGCGCGGGAACCAAAAATATCGCCCGCGTCGACTTCGCTGACCGGTGTTTCGTGCTCCGCGGGCAGGCATTTCCTTCGCCCGGTCTTTTTCGCCGTAAAGAAGTCAAGAAGAAGCATTGCTGCCAACTCGCTGCGTCGCAGTCACGTTTGCCTACAAGCTAGTTACATCAACATGCAACGTCAACATTTCGTGTTCAGAACGCACGATACAGAGAAGCGCGAGCGATTTCTACTTCTAGCTAACGAAAACGAGCCCAGGTAATGTTAAAATGAAAACGAAACGAGTTCAGTTCGCCAGACCTTCATTTACCTACCTGTATTATGTCAAGTCCAGATAAAATGTCAGAAAGAACATTTGAGAGTCTATGATTCTCATCAAATTAACTGGAATAGTCGGGTAATGATCCGTGTTTCCCGGAAACGTCGACCATTTTAGCAGGTATTTGTAGAGAAAACAAGAGTATCACGGATTTTTTTCGCCTTGCGTCCAAACTGTTCGGAGAATCGTCCATCAGTCGTCCCCGGCAAGAAGTTACCAAATACGAACTCAGCCCCTCGCCCCCAATCCGCTCGAAAGTCGTTATCTTTCACAACTTACGCACACCCAAGTAGACTTTTCCTAATCACCCTCTCCCAAGGAAAGAGTCGCGAAGCATCGATTTCCTTTCCAATCCTCATTTCCCGAGAGGAAATTGAATACCCGACGAAAACGTAATTAAGGCTTTCTTTCGATTGTTCTCCGCGGCGCAATTCCGACGCACGCTTGCCACCACGCGAAGGGAGCCGGCGCGCCCGGCCGTCGGTTCGATGGACAGGTAAAAGCCCAGCCCGCAGCCTCCCGCCGCGCTATCTGTCGCGTCTCATTGCATGTGACAAGGCGCAAACAAAGAGGATTTTCACGCGGCGATTCCTGCGGCCGTCCCGCCCTCGATTTGACGCACAATACCGCGCTGCCCCTCCCCGCCCGCCCTCAGCTCCCATCACCGGCAGCGCCCGACCGGCGCGCGCCTGTCTCCAATCGTCCTACCAGATAATTTATCAATTAAACTTTGGCACCGCGGCGCCAACGGCAGCGGTGGCAGCAAAGTTTTCTTGGAAAACGGAGCTGTCCTTCCCGCGGCATCGCACACAAAAGCGAAGGGGCTTTGTAAACCGGGGGTGGAGTGGAATTACGACATCTGCTTTTATTTCGTATTGTAACACCCGTTGCAGTTCTAAATAAAAGAGAGAGGCCGGTGAACGAACACCCTTCAAGGGTTTTAAACGTTTAAACACTAATTTACGAGCGCGAGGGTCGTTTTTTGTTACATTGGAGTCGTTTAGACGGCGTATTGCTTTTCAAATTCGTTTTCAACTGTGGCTGCATGTAAAAGGAGCGTACGTACGCCCGCACCCTTCACCATGCTAATAAAATGACGCAGAGAAATCAGAGTTGCATGTGTGACCGACTCTCGAAAGAAAATGACGGAGAGTTTACGACGCTACATAATGACGCGTGACGAAACATTACTTGGTAGCTCGGGCGCTCGAAGGGTGTTTATCGTCAGCATAGAGTATATTGTGCGTGTTGGTTTTGCTTCTGACAAACGTGAAATTCAAAATACCATCACCATTGAAATATGCTTCACAAAGCGTTTTCCTGACTATACATAAAGTAGAGCTTTCAAATAAAATAATCTAAACTGTAATTCCAGTGTAGTCATACTAGAACGCTTATCTTGCAAATGTATAAATCAAAAACACTATTCAACATTTTTAACACTGTTCACGCATGATACGATTTGTGAATACTATGTCTGTTAACACGCATTTTACGAGTTTTAAGTATGTTCATTGTAGTTCAGTGTTACGAATTAGCAGTACCACAGAATAATCGGAACGTTTTCCATTCATTCGAGATCTATGTGGGATATCATTCAACCAAATTCCATTCATTTAATCTAATTTTTCATATACTATTCATTCACTTATTCACTTTCATATAGTATATAATTATTTATGTGTTTCATATACATGCTCAATTCATTGACATCCAAGTACCACATCCCCCTTAAATACAACATATGTTCCTACAAAATATGAAAATTCACGGGAAGCCACACAGAACGTGATAAAACACCTGCGCTACTGTTCCACGACATCAGGTACTTTCACGGAACAAGAAGCAATTGAGGACTAAAACATGCCACTTATAAAAAACACGGCACAGATAGAAAACACGGGCACAGAAATGAAAATACAGGAGATGTGCTTCACCTAATATCTCAGCCAAATTGTTCTCAACACAACGACGCACAAGCATTTCTTGGTCGCCTTCCTTTGAGATGCACATTTTCTTCTAAAACATTATTTATTCGTTTTTTAATCAACACCGCCAGACAAACTCTACATATTCCTACTATATCGAATATATATTACAACACCTCATCATATAGCAAGCGCGCCTGATCAAACCCAAACAATCTTCTGGACAATAGTGAAAGCCTTGGACGACTCTAAAGACGTCATATCCTAGACTTGCCTTTCCAACTAAATATGTGAGAGACATTCTGCACAATGTTTAATACCTCATCCTCATCAACAACCAATTTCCTGAATGTTTAAATGAAAAGAAGCAAATTATAAATAGCAGAAATATAACAAAAATAAAATAAAATAAAATATGCATTATTATAAGCGGATCATTAAAAACTTTGACTAGTCTAGGCACGGATAGGCTTCCCGCCCAGCACCGCTGCAAGGCGCGTCTTAGGCAGCACTGTGCCAAAAGTCGGGGTCTCGAACGGTGCTGACGTCCGGCCGTCGTTTTCCTGACTCCGATTCAAAGAATTCTCAACTCGGCGTTCTGTCTGACAAACGAGTTCAAAAAGAAGGTTTGTTTCTCGTGATTCACAGATCACAGTGCAACGCAATACCCTGAAATATGCTCAGTCTCTCAGCTGCTCCGAATTAACACATCTCTGCTTTCACATTTCTGGAACGTTTATTAGGGGAATGACTAAAAAGTTTTAATTAATACACTGTCCATAACATATTGAAAAAAAATTTACGCGAATGAAGCAACTACCCTTGTAATATAAAATTTACTCTCTCGTAACATGTTTCTTCGAAAATGATCAATACACATTTTCTTTAAATTATTTGCATGAATTTGAATAGAAAATTGCGCACGAGTATCAATGTACTCACACACACACACACACACACACACACACACACACGCTTGTATGCGTGTGTGTGTGTGTGTGTGTGCCTGTGTGTGTGTGTGTGTCCGTGTGTGTTATCGATATCTGTCATGGGGTTGTATATTGAATATCGAATTTCTTTTCGAAGTCAACAAAGGATTTTCCGTGTGTAGAGCATAACTGCTTAGCAAGCAATGCTCTCAGTAGCTCACAATACTAAACGCCAATACAGGGAGACTGGAAGCCCGGTGGCGTGTTTTTGTGTTTGTTTTTAGGGGGCGCGATTGTCGTGAGATTGGGGTTAACGCAAACAGGGTTTCCGGGAACTGTAGAAAAAGAGGTATTCGCGCGACGCTCAGCCAACGAGGAAAGATACTGAAAGTTACACGACACTGGAAGCTGCCCACCACGGTCCAAATCGGTAAAACTCGGAAACCTATCCATTCGGGCCACTTCAAGACAAGAAATAAGCTACGTCAACCACAAACAGTATCACGACTTTTTCTTGCAGTTGATATCCTATTATTGTAATTTGCTTTTTCTTTGTACACATTTATGCTTGCAAATCGATGAACATCTTGGTAGAAATACGTTCGGGCGATTACTTCGCGCTGCATAGCAGCACGACGAGAACAATATCCGTTTTACATACTTATCAAGAGAGAATGTTAAGAAATCTCAAAAGTTCGTCTTAGCTAGTGAATCAAGTTTGAAAATTAATATCAAATAATTGAGGGTTGATAAAAATCTTAAATATTCCAGCAGCGAATAGAACCACGCGGATATACAAACAATTCCACAACGATGATGTCCAATATATTTTCAAAGGTAACGTAAAGTTAATTAAATTAAGTACCATTAAAATAGAATCGCCGTTTCAACTGGCGGTAGTGAAGTCGGGTATGACGGAATGAGTTGGTCGTCGGGCTTCGCGCGAAATCGGACGGGCGGGCCGAGGTAGAGGGAGGAGGCGGTCGAGGCGGCGGGGGGCGAACGGGGACGTACTGTTCGGATGGCACTGGAGGGGGTGGGGGGCGCCGATACGAATCCGCGCAGCGTCGCTCCTCTCTGACTCTCCGGGTTCCTCTCCAACTCATTTAAACTGTGACGCACGTAAATTGCTTTCCAGGCCCATTTCCGTCCACGCGGCCAGACTTCCTGCGCTGGCCGGGGAGGCCGACCTGCCCGCCTGCCCGCTTGCCTGCCTGTCTGCCTACCCGCCCGCGCGCCGGGTTCCCACGCGCGACGCCGCGGACGCCGCCGCCGCGCGGTTCTTTTCAAAGTGCGGATGCACGAGCGAACGCGCGCTTTCTACACCTTGTTTTGCATAGCAGGCTGAACTCGCCCCTTGATGGTGAGGCAGCAGGGGCTGCCAGAGGAAAACGTACGAGTCTTCAGGACATAATGAATTGTCCTACAAAATCCGCCAATACTGACAATCTGATATGTGTCATTAAAAAAATCGCACATTGATACTCATAGACGAATTTTTGAATTTACTCAGGAATGTCCAAAATTTTACCACATTGTCTCTTGATACAGGAATATTTGTAAGTACCATGAAGTATTCAAAGCTCGCATTTTTATCTGTATAGAAAACATTTAAAAATTAATATTCAAAGTAAATAGATTCTTTGCGATGAGCAAAGATTCAGAATTCTAGCATGTGTGCAGCGAGCGACAAGTGTGCATAATTTTCTTAATACAACTGGACAAGTTTTATGTTCAACACATTGTAAAAAAACAAAGTAAAAGTCTGAATTGTCATAAAGTACATTTCCTATTATTACACGGAATTATTTATCATGAATAATTTTTCGTTATTAATAATTTCTTTGTTTTAGTAGTCTGAATACTTCTTTCAGTACCACATACCTATGTAACGTTAATGTGCTAAAGTCGTGAAAACATTGTAAAGAGAATCTAAGTAATTGTCGAAATAGAAAAGTTCGAATACTAATTTTCATTAGTTTCGAAAGCATAGACAGACTGCCTCAATGGGAAAATAGTGCCTTATATTTAATTACTATTTTCTCATTTAAAGAGCCATTACACTGAAGTGTGATTCGCAATTCGAAGCCGATTGAATTTGGGTATTCACAACGGTATGTGACAAACGACACCAATTCGCTTAATTAATGCATCAACAATTTTCAGAGAAGTTTACGAATCTTAATAATTACTTCCATATATATTTTGTATTAAGAAAAAACCTTTCTTCTCTAACAAGATAAATGGTAGTTGGTTACAAAATTTTTAGTCTTTTTTTAAATTAAAAATATATACCAGCTATATTTGCATCGCAAAGGGGTTCATTTATTTCACCGTCTATTATTTCAGTACTCTCCTCTTTAAATGAATCGAAATGCTTTAAACAACAATATCGAGTGAAGCGTGACGAAACTGCAATTGTAAGACGGCGAGATATTCGGGGCAAGATCGATGGACTCGTGGGAGCTGGGACAGCGTGCTCGCGGACCATCAACCCCGCGCGTTGGTGGTTCCCGAGGTCGGGCGCTTGCGGTGGCGCCCGCGCCCGCGTCGGCAATCGCACCGTGCAGCTCGTCCGGGGGCGGGCTGAGGGGCGGGGTGCTTTCCAGGAATGACGCGAAGGGCCAGCTCGCCACGCCGCATACTGGACCGAAGCCTCGTTCTCGCCCGGGAGACTGCGCCATGCGCAAGTGTAGTGAATCAAAGTACTGTCGCGGTTGTTTTTTGTTTTTTTTTCATGTGTCTGGGTTCGGTAAATTCCTTGGGTTCGGTAGAAAGAAAGACAGAAAATGGGACTATTTAGCGAAGTGTCTGTTCTGGGGTATTGCCTCCTCGACCCTTTATGACAGCTTGCAGCTGGGAAAATGTCTTTCCAATTACGACTATGGCATAGAATATTTTATACCGAATTATGTTTAGTTCACACCTACGAGTCTGCGCTTTATCATCATTTTATACTTTTTTTGTGTTACACATTGTATGGTCATTCGCTTTAATATTACATAGCAAGAACAATTTTATACACTATCTATAAAATAAAATTCCTTAGCTCCTCTTTAATTCGGTTCAATTTTCGATTTTCACTAATATAAAACTTCTGACCTGTCAGTCGCGCAATTGATGTCAAGCAATGGAGCCTTCGGAATTGCACTCGCACGAAACCAGCCACCGGCAATCGGCTTCTGTCAGTACTCACCTTTTTCTCCGTCATCACGTACAGATGCATGAGCTGCGAGTCGAAGTGCAGATCTGGGTTGACGGGCGAACCCTCGTCCACGACGAGGTCGCCGTACTCCAGCGCAGAAGTGGCGCTCTCCACAACGACCTACAAATGGACGAAGCTCGTATTACTATCACGATCAGCCATGGGAGAAACTATAACTAGTTGAGTGGTTTCTATCATCAACATAAAAATAACTAATAACATGTTTCAAAGAGAAGTTTCTTACTAATCAAGCACAAATACGAAAATGAAAAATAACCATATAAATATGGAAGAGCATTTTTATTTTCTCACCTATTACATTACGTAATATGCCATCTAGAAGAGAACTGCACATTGACCATAATAATATTCCTACAGACGACTGAAATTCGACCTCACCTGAAGGTAATTGAGAAATGTCAAAAGTACTCGTAAAATTATTTCATAATTGATGAAAAAGTAAGATGAATATTCTAAATAAAATCGTACTTGGAAATTCTAAAAACAAATTGATAATTCTATATAAACATCAAGGAATTGCATAATCTGAAAAGGCAGTATCTTCATGCATCACTTTGTTATCCACAAGTTCGAAGAACGTAACTCGAAACAGTCGCGACCCAAAAGGAGAAATAAGTCAAAATACAGCTGCAGCAAATGTAACCGTCTGCAAACACCACCGTCGCGTCGCATATCGTCGACGCCGTGCAGAAGAACGATGCAGAAGTCGTCAACTCGCCGCCCACTGCGCGCAGGTGCAGCGCCAAACAACAGAAAAAGATGTCCAAGTTCGACTCCGCACGCCCCAGAATTTTGGAAGTGTCTCCCGCCACCTTCCCACTTCGCCGCCTTCCGTTAGAAGACGCGGCGCCACTTCTCGCAAGCAACGTGCGTCGCGCCAAGGGACGACGTCTGCGGGAAATATGCTTACGGCCGCCGAGAACAATGCATACTCCCGATACGGTTGACGGCGCAAAAAATGCACTTCTCCCGCGTATCGTACCTCGTGTTGCGCAGGAAAGAGGAGCGGGAAGGGGGGGCGGGGGCCGCTGTGAAGCGCAACGCGCGCAACAAACGAAATTCTCGCCCCCCACCCGGGCCCCGCCCCCTGCCGCTCACGCACTTGCGGCCCGCAGCCGCACCCGCACACGCGGAGCCCTGTTGCTCCTCGGATGGGCGGAAACGAAAACAAAGACGACCCCCGCGGGACAGCTAAAGATGGAGATGGTGGATTTTTTAAGTACATTTTAATCACTTTATCGGGACTTTATGAAAAAGAGCTTACATGTTCGAAAACTAAGTTTCAACATAAGAATAAATGAAGCGACAGTGACCAAATGAGAATTTCCGAAATCTTTCCGGCTAGCCTGGTTTTAAGAGGAATAGTTGAACGCTGTCTTGGAAATTCAACTTGTTTGAACATACATAATCACTTTTACATTTGAGTTTGTATTTTCATGTTACCACCTTATTTAAAATTATATGTTCATCTCACCTTACAAATAATATATTGAAAAGAAAACATTCTGAAGGCTCGGTAACAACACATTTCATGTTTTATCTTTTGTAAGAGTATCATGTATAAAGTACCGTGGTACCGTATCATGTATATGGTATATCATGTTAAAAGTTCACTATTTTTTCCCTTACCCTTTTCCCCACGGCAACCACATCTTTCAACTGGACTTGAAGGCAGATGTTAATAGTTTTGCAGTATTTTATTGTCCCCAAAGCGATGGCATCGCAATCCTCGGTTACTAAAGGTTAAATTGGTCATTCCACCAGCGAAATCTATAATGTGTGAAACAGGTTAGAACCTCTAATCTGAACAATCCAAATAAAATCGAGCCGTTCTGAACTTGTTTCGTAACATTTAACAGAGGAATTGTAATTGACTAAAAACCAAACCTACAATTGCATTTTGGCATTTCTCCTGTAATGTTATTTGTAATCTTGATGTCACCTCATCAGTTATCCAGGAGAAATCAAGACAATGCAGTACCCACCGTTCTAACTGAACAGAAAACACAACACTAACGCGAGAAATAATGGCTCACAAAGAGTGCCTGCTGCAAATTAACTCTAATTTGTCTGCCATGATCTTAAGCAATTTGTAACACTTGAAATTGTAGTAGCTCCACCTAGCCACCATTTATCGATGATCCCAGCAAATCCATTTGTCAATTGTTCAATCGAAAGATGCAACTTCAATTGAAAATAACTCGGCACTCTAGAAGGTAAAACAAGAGGGGATAATGATTATTATTATTATTATTATTATTATTATTATTATTATTATTTAAGTCAATCTATTCACATCTCTTTATAACTATACATTCTTTCTTAATATCTGCAGAACGCCGTTCAGATCTTCCTCACAGAGGTTGAAACATTAAGTTCATATGCGCGTGGGTGACGATGGGGAGGAGGGACATAGGCTTTTCGAACGTCCACTGCTCAGTCGATGCGTAAATTCCCAATCTAACACGCCTATCTCTTCCGCTGCGTACATTCGTTATCTTTCAATTGGCTCGTCCGCGGGCGCAAGGCAATTATAGTGGAATGCACGCAGATAATGGAAATATGTCACCGAAGCGCGGACCGTCACGTGCCACCGCAAATTGCAAGTGCCTCGGAATAACTGGTAGTATATTTAAAAGTTCGCCGTGATTCGAAATCTGAAAAGAAGAGGACGGACGCATAACACTTCGTGCGATTGCTGCACGGCCATGCGCATTTAAGAGAAGGGACCACGGTACGTGCGAACGTGGCGCATTGAAAGAAATGGGCAATGTTGGGACCGCCATAATTGGGACGGCCATCTTCTCCTGTTTTGCCTCACAATCAGTGCATAAAACATGCGGTGCAACACATGGGAACCTTTATAATACGATAATACGATATACATATGCAACGTGCACATACGATAAAATACATCCTTCTAAAGTTGAAAGAACACGTCTATTGGGAGCGAGCCTCCCCGTCGGCCTCGGCAGTGGCATGTTGCTCGCGACTCCGCGCCGACGTCCTCCTCCCCAAAGTGCTATCGACTCCGCGCGGGCGCGGACGCGGCGCGTGCGATCGCGTGCGCCTTGACGTGTGCGCTCCCGCGTGCCCCGGTGCGCCGCGAGCGGCGGAGGAGCAGCGGCGGCGGAGCGGGGGAGGCGAGGCGGGATCCCTGCAAAGGTCAGCGAGCGAGAGGGAGGCGCAGTGGACGGAAAAAGGGACGGGGCGTGGGAGGT